TCTAGCGGGAATGATTACAGAGATATAGGGTGTTCAAAATCGAGATTTTTCAAGTTTAGGGTTTTTTTGTCTCGAAACTATTCATTATTGGTCAAAACCGAGGTCAAAACGGTCTACATGTCCTTGGTCGAAACGGCTTCTATGTTTCCATCTTAACTTTTGATTTACTGTCTACTGTCATTTAATTGGAGCATTTACAGGGTGGTTCAAGATTCAGAATTCTGATCACCCTGTATCTGTTCTAATTATTCAATGACAGTAAATCAATAGTTGAGATATGGACATGAAAGTCGTTTTGACCGATGATGAATAGTTTCGTCTCAAAAAAATCCTAAAGTTGAAAAATCTCGATTTAGAACACCCTATATCTCTGTAATCATTACCGCTAGACCCCAAGTGTGATCCATTGACCAAATCAACTCTTCAGGGAGAATCTAAAAATACAATGAAAAATAGGGTGTTCCATATAAAAAGAATCAAATAATACCCTGTAGATCGTTTGTTCCGAGCACCCTGTATTTTCTGATGTAGCGGAAAGAAACTTCAGCAAAAATCATTCGGGATGATATTTCAAACTTTGAAATCGGTTTAAAAATAACTGAGCTAGAGGGGGGCACATTTATGGTGAATCACCCTGTACATCTGGTAGTTTCAGTATAAATAACATTATTCGTTCAGATTGCTCTCAAATTTCACAGGCACTTTGTCAAATGAATGACTAATACAAGGCTAATACACATTTTTTTTACTCGCAATATCTGGTAAATCATGCTGTTTACTCGCAATATCTGGTAAATCATGCTGTTCAATTGATGAATAATAAAAAAAACATAAAATTTCCGAAATTGGGGCGATAAATGTAGTGGATAATAAGAAACAGAAAATCTATATAAAATGAAGAAATACAAATTGTTCTCGAATAAAGAAAATTCTTGAACAAATTGCGATGTTCCACGAACATTACAGGAATATCCTTTCGTGCGCTCCAAGAGATAAAAAAACTTCTATAAATCATTGACCAGAGGGTAATAGAAGGGACGAAACGTTTGCTTTCAACGTAAGGTTGAATGCTCCGGAAGTATTTATGTCTTCTGCAATATTGCCGGTCGTGTATAAGATAGTTGGAAAATATAGTTTGGTGAGAGCGTAAATTTAAAAAAAAACAAAGTAAAAACAATGTTATCGTGATTTATATCCTGTCATTAGGTCTCATAAAACACCCAAAACAATACTTCTATATATATATATAACTAAGCCATTTAATTGGACAGATATGATACATTATGATTTAAGGTTCAATGATCAGTTATACATACAAGGTTCAAATACAAATGCTTTGGAAGAAACCTCGGAAGAAACCCTCTTAATAGAACGTTATTTGAGAATGTATATTGATATACCTCTCTTAGTTGAGACATCAGGAGATATCTATATTTTCAAAACAGGATTGAGAAAAATGTATTTTATCTGATGGCATGTCATAATGACAACGTTATGTCACTCAATTTTGATGACATAAGGAAGCTCATTATGGGACTAAGTACCATAATGAATTCATTATGGGACTAAGTACCATAATGAATTCATTATGGTACTAAGTACCATAATGAAATTCTATAAGGAAAACATGTAATGGTTTGATCAAAAAAGTTTATTCAAAATGCATAACTATGTACAAAACTATTTATTATAAATGGTAAAAGAACAATTACTACAATTTGTAATATTAATATAATGGCAAAGCACAGCTCACTCACCTACTAATATTTGAAACTACACAATACTTACTCCTTTAAAAATAGTTGTCATTGTGACATGTCGAAAATGCAGTTTTTAATTTTCCGAAAATGTATTGATATAAATGCCATCAGATAAAATTTTGTATGTAATACGAATCATAAACAATCATTATAGCACACGCCGTTGTTATCGGACTCGGCTACGCCTCGCCCGATAACATTCACGACTTGTACCATAATGATCGTCTTCATGATCCTTATTACATAAATAACTATTATGCACTTCATCAGGGACTTGAAGGGTACCTTCATTCCCTATTTTCGGGAAAAAAAGTGGTACTTTAAATCCCTTAGGATTCAGAGTGAATTCCTTCGCAATAAAAGCTGAATTTAGAAATGCCTGTTGCAATTGTGGTTTTAATCATCGAATTTTTTTTATCGCTTGGAGCGCACGAAAGGAAATCCCTATAATGTTCAGAGAACATCGTGCGTTCCTAGGGAGGATAGGGACAGGAGGTAGGTATTCGAATTTTTTTTTAACTTCTGGAGATTATATATGTTGTTGGGAATACTTCCTCAGGCAATGAATTCCAGAGCCTAGCCGTTCTATATATGGATGGAATATACACATCATTGATCCGAAGTTAATAGTAGGAACCAAACGTCTGCTTTCAGCGAGAGGTTAAGAGCTCCGGAAGTATTTATGTCTTCTGCAATATTGCCGGACGTGTATAAAATAGTTGGAAAATATAGTTTGGTGACAGCGCACATTTAAAAAAAACGAAGTGAAAACAATGTTATCGTGATTTATATCCTGTCATTAGGTCTCATAAAACACCCAAAACAATACTTCTATATACAGGGTGTTCCTTATAGACATGCTAATATTCGAGGGGGTGATCATTTGACTCATTTCATCGAGTCTTAACTTTTGAGATACAGGGTGATGAAGTTTTGAAAAATATTCAGTTTTTTATTATAACTGAGACAATTATGTATACATCTTCATGAAATTTGGTACACGTGTATGCATCAAGGTGCATTTTCTGTTGTACAAACATTTTCATTTACTCTACCAGTGGCATCGTTACGGGAAATTATTGTTATATTATATTTTAATTAAAAGTGAGCAACGACGAAAAATTCTCAGATTTTATGCAATGTCATAAGAGGGTATTTAATTATGTACAAAAAAGATCCTCTTGTTGATACTCACACTCACTCACTCTTTGACATCATTGGAACACCGTAGAAAGGTCGGCGACCTTTCACTTTTCTATCGATACTTCCACGGGAAATGTTCTTCGGAAATCATCCCTTCACTAGCAATACCAGTCAGACGAACTAGACAAGCCCAGTCAGCACATCCTTTCGATGTCAACCTCGAAAGATGTCGAACAGCACTTTATCAAAACTCCTTCATCCATAGAACGGCTAGACTCTGGAATTCATTTCCTGAGGAAGTATTCCCAACAACATATAATCTCCAGAAGTTCAAAAAAAATTCCAATATATACCTACCTCCTGTCCCTATCCTCCCTAGGAATGCACGATGTTCTTTGAACATTATAGGGATTTCCTTTCGTGCGCTCCAAGCGATAAAAAAACTCGATAGAACGCTTCGTTTTCGAGAAAAAACGGAAAAACGAAACCAGACTTTAAATTTTGATGTCTGAGTACCCAATTCAGGACATCCATTACTGGATAACCACAGTATGTACCATTTTGAAATTTTTATACCGATACAGTCACATAGCAGACTGGATTTTGCCATCACGAAAAGCTATGCAGGGTGGACAAAAAATAATCTATGCATATTTTCAACATTGACACCCTGTATCTCAAAAGTTTGGACGTTTACGACATACGTTCATATGAAGTTTCATTCTTGAAATGGGTCGAGGAATCGGCCCCTTGAATATTAGCATATCATTAAGGAACACCCTGTATACAGGGTGTTTCAGTTTTTTGTAGCAGGACTTTAACAGCTTGAAGAAGACATTTTTTCAAGATGAAAATACAAACATATATATGCGTGGGAGCTTCGTTTCCGATTTACAGGGTGTCAAAGTTTCAGATTTTCTTTATGTTTTTTGAATTTTCTCCTACAATTTTCGGAATAATTGATTCAAATTTGGTACACCTAATACACTTCAAAAACTCAAGATTTGAGGCTATTGAGCGTTTTTGAATACCTACAGGGTGATAGAGACTTTCAGTGGTCGTACCCAATTTAACCCTGATGTAGATTTTTTTTGCGTGCCGCCTTTGCTTTCAATGGGACATAGATTCAGATTGTCTCTGCAATTTGGAAACTTTTTGCCCCCATGAATGTTTTTCGAAAACTGTATGGATTTCGAGATAAATAAAAGTGGAGTCCGAACCACTTCTAAGGGTACTGATAAAATTAGAATTGCCGTTCACGAGTTTAAATTATTAAAACTCAAAAACACCTCAACCGTCAGAAGCGACAGTCCAGGGATGTATAGCGCCTTAGACCATGTGTCATACAGTCCCTGATATCGAAAGTTTAACCAGTTTCAGTTATAAAGGGGTGTCCTAGAATTTTCTACAATACAATTTCAGATTTTGCAATCCAGTTAGAGGAGTTTTTTAAAATAAACACATTTTTTCTTTGTTTTTCCTAGTTTTAATTATAATGGTGTTCAAAAAATTCAATCTAATCTTGCAACTGAATTTCATTGGGTATGGAAGCTTTCGGTCATTCTATTTTCCAATGAAATGTTTGAGAAATTTCAAATAAGTGTGTTTGAGAAATAACGGTTTTATTGCAAGTAATTAATTTTTGGCATTTATCTCGAGATCCATACAGTTTTCGAAAAATTTACATTGGGGCAAAAAGTTTCCAAATTGAAAGGACAATCTGAATCTATGTCCCATTGAAAGCAGAGACGGCACGCAAAAAAGTTCTACAGGGTTAAATTGGGTACGACACCTGAAAGTCTATCACCCTGTTAGGTATTCAAGAACGCTCAATAGCCTCAAATATTAAGTTTTCGAAGTGTATTAGGTGTACTAAATTTCAATCAATTATTCCGAAAATTGTAGGAGAAAATTCAAAAAACATAAAAATGATCTGAAACTTTGACACCCTGTAAATCGGAAACGAAGCTTCCACGCACGAGATTCTCATCTTAAAAAAATGTCTTCTTCAAGCTGTTGGAGTCCTGCTGCAAAAAACTGAAACACCCTGTATAACTAAGCCATTTAATTGAACTGAGAAATATGCGAAAAACAAACCTTCACTTTCGAAAATAGGCTATACACTTTATTCCACAAGCCCGTTACTTCAATAATTGTCCAAAAAATCCTCACTCACATAACTATAATACCGCGCCAAAGGTACAACTACGACAACCAAGTTCAAGATTGGTACCTATCGGAACGCAAGAACCCAAGTACGATGACGAGTTAACGGTACCTCGAAACGGTGCTGGAACCACTGACTGAAGTCGGACACCTTACGCTAGCATTTCGGCGCTCACCTTATCTTTGAGAAACAGAGGCGTGCACAGGTGATAGTAGACAATCGTACACAATAATACAGAGGTGGATGAACGGGATTGGTTACATATTACACGTTACAGTTTTCCATGGTGACCAGAGACGGACTAGGCAAATCCCAAGTAAGGTCGACCTTCACTCATCTGCTTGCCGGATGAAAATTATATTTTATCAAATAAAATATATTTCTGAACATGAACCTATATAGGGTTGCCATAAAAAGCATGTTCATGACTATGATAAATAAAAATTAGAAAAAATATTGTTTTTTTAAATTTCACCGACTTGCTTGGCAAAACAATGAAATTCCAATGGAAAGCATACAATACAGGGTGTCCTGAAATAAGCCTGTCAAACTTCACCAGCGGCTTCTGAAACAAAAAATAGGAAGAAAAGTTCCAATGAATATGAGTCGAGAATTATTGTCCCCTAAGGGAGCTACGGCCCCCTAAGAAGGGACTTTCAATGCCCAATGCGGTGAACATAAAATCATTTCAAAGTTCCATTCAGGAGTATATAATACAGGGTAGAACTACATTAAATATTGCTCAAACTTTTTCGTATACATATTTTTTGACAATTTTATCTCGCATTATGAAAATCAACACCGTTCCACAAAGAAGATGCTCTTGTTCCGCATCGATCAAATCCCTAATAACACACTTATGTCCCATGGATATCCTCAGGACGTCCTGTCGGGACATACAGGACGTCCATAGGACGTTCGAATTTGGTACCGTGGACGTGGACTAGGGACGTCCTTGAGGAATGTCCCTGGGACAACTATCGTATACCTGACTCCTACAGTATTCCTCATCAAGCACTACAGAGGACATCCTTAGGACATCCATAGGACAACCTATCAGCAACGCTGAGGTATATCAATTGGATGTCCATAGGATGTCCCAGGGACGTACGAATAATTCTTGAATTTGAATTTTTCTGGGACCAGATCTTGCATAACTGATTAGGACATCCAGTTGAGTTGATGGTCCGTAGAAGGTCCCCAAGAAGTTTCCCACGGATGTCCAATGGACTTACGTGAAGGACATTGACGAGGAGTACTTATAGCCTACGAGCAATCATTCGTCGGCGAGGTGTAAGTAAACGTCCTCGCAGGGAGTACATATTGAAAGTACCGACTGGGACGTCCATAGGACGTTATTTCTAGGACATTGAGTACAGTTCATGTACCAATTGGGACATCCGACGGATATCTCTAAGGGACATTCGAAGGATGTCCCTAAGGGACATTTCAATTGTTATACGATCCTGGAAATATTAAGGGAGTCTGTGCAGAGATATTTGGAGGAATGTACCATCAGGGACATTTCATGGTTGTCTAGAAGGGACATTATATAAGATCTGTAGTCATGCCAGAATATGTACTACTCGGGACATCCGATGGATGTCCCTAAAGGAACGTTTAAAATCATATCCCATCAGGAACATGCCAAGGAACTCCTTGCATGGACATTCTACAATATGTACCACGTGTGACGTCTAAGGGACGCTATTACTAGGACATTTGAAACGATGTACCAGATGGGACATTCCGTGGACGTCCTTGCTCGGACATTGCATGAGATGTACGGGATGGGACGTCCCAAGGACACTTATTTTTAGTTCGGGACATTCGGACGTGAATTGTACTAAATAGGGACGTCCCTAGGACGTTATTGTGTGCTATTAGGGATGTATCATTTTCGAGTGAAATCGATTTAAAAATATTGTTGCACTCACATCTTATGCATATAACGTTGCCAATTTTCAAATCATAGTGGCTATAAAAAAATAAAGTACTTTATTTTTACCAAACAATCTCATAAAAGCGCGAAAAATAGGAAAATAATGATGAAAAAACTACTTGAATTTTGTACATTTTTTTCCATTTCCACTATGCCTCTTAGCAGTGTTATATGCATAATATCTGAGATGTCACGGAACACGGGTACCTTTTTTCTGTGAAGAGGTGTGAAATCTCATAATCCGGTATTAAATTGTTGGAAAATATGCATACACAGAATTTTGAGCAATATTTAATGTAGTCCCACCCTGTATTATACACTCCTGATGGCAATTTTGAAATGATTTCATTCACATTTCATTGGACATGGAAAGTTTAGTTTTGTACCAAATTGCATCTTTTTATCACATGGAGTTTCGGAAATATCCAAGAAATATCATCTTCAGGAGCCCCCTTCCAGGGGGCTGTAGCTCCCTTAGGAGACATTTCTCGAATCATGTTCATTGAAAGTTTCCTTTCTATTTTTGATCCTAAAAGCCGCTGGTGAAGTTTGGTAGGCTAATTTCGGGACACCCTGTATAGAATATGGAACAGCTGGGTTGCCTATATTTTTCTGGTCCCTATTACATGGTTGCCTTGTACAAACAGGACAGTTGATATTAATAATTGCACCGTGTAATATATCAAAATGGAGGCAATTTTATAACGAATACAGTAGTTTAGGGTTGCCTTGAAAAATCAGTTCATGAGTTGAGAAATCGGGTGTGAGGTGAGGAGCATTGCAGGTTCTATTTGATGCGATAGAGGGGGACGCAGTACACTTGCTGTGCACGACATAGCCTAAGAATGTAAGATAGGGCGCATGCTTTCTACTCATAGTAGTCATATTATAAAAATGGATGAAACCAAATGCTTTTGAAAAACTTTCGGGGGAGCAAACAGTCCGTTTGTGACCCTAATAACACACTTATGGCCCATGGATATCCTTATAATACGTCCTGGCGGGACATTCAGGACGTCCATAGGACGTTCGAATTTGGTACCGTGGACGTCCATTGGACGTCTGTGGGACGCACAAATGTCCAACTTGAGGACCAACTAGGAACGTCCTTGAGGGATGTCCCTTGGACAACTATCGAATACCTAACTCGTACAGTATTCCTCATCAAGCCCTACATCCATAGGAGAACCTATCAGCAACGCTGAGGGATATCAGTTGGATGTCCATTGGATGTCCCAGGGACGTACGAAATATTCTTGAATTTGAATTTTTCTGGGTCCCTCTAGGACCAGATCTTGCATAACTGATTAGAACATCCAGTTGAGTTGATGGTCCGTAGAAGGTCCCCAAAAAGTTTCCCATGGATGTCCAATGGACTTACGTGAAGGACATTGACGAGGAGTACTAATAGCCAACGCGCAATCATTCGTCGGCGAGGTGTAAGTTAACGTCCTCGCAGGGACAACATATTGAAAGTACCGACTGGGGCGTCCATTGGACGTTATTTCTAGGACATTGGAAGAGTACAGTTCATGTACGAATTGGGACATCCGACGGATATCCCTAAGAGACATTCGAAGGATGTCCCTAAGGGACATTTCGATGTTCATACGATCCTGGAAATATTAAGGGCGTCTGTGCAGAGATATGATCTGAAGTCATGCCAGAATATGTACTACTCGGGACATCCGATGGATGTCCCTAAAGGAACGTTTAAAATTCCATCAGGGACATGCCAAGGACGTCCTTGCATGGACATTCTACAATATGTACCACGTGGGACGTACAAGGGATACTATTTCTAGGACATTTGAAATGATGTACCAGCTGGGACATTCCGTGGACGTCCTTGCTCGGACATTGCATGGGATGTACGGGATGGGACGTCCCAAGGACACTTATTTTTGGTTCGAGACATTCGGACGTGTATTGTACCAAATAGGGACGGCCCTAGGACGTTGTGTGCTATTAGGGGAACACGTGTTTTGTGGAAATATTGAAAATGGCGAAGAAGTGTTTCCTATTCGAATCAAGTGATTCTGTGATGGAATTTGATGAAAAGCTGTTTAAAAACTTTGAATAAATCAAGATACAGCCACGAAAAACGTTCTTGAAACAGAAAAAAAAGAAAACATTATGAGAAAAAACATTTATCAACACACGTTTTGAACGAAAATTCAAAATCCTAATTATTAAACAATAAATACATGGAAAAAATAAATTCAAACATATTTTAATAATTGAACGTTACTCAGGGTCCGAATCGCCAGAAGATATACTGTCTTCCAGGTCGAAATAAGCATTTTCATTTTCTATTCTAGTCATTTGTGAAATATTATTCATTTTTAAAGAAGTCTGATGATCTCCATCGAATCCAGTCGGTTTCAAATAACCATCGCGAAACCAACCGCAATTATCAGGGCGTAATTTAATACAGTTGAGATCAGTTGCATGTAGCCACATTGAATTAATATAAATATGCTTCTTACAGCATTCATTACCTATTATACTATTTTTGATTTCCTGTTTTCGATTTTTTTTTTGCATAGGAAACACTTCTTTGCCATTTTCAATATTTCCACAAAACACGTGTTCACAAACGGTCTGTTTGCTCCCAACAGTTTTTCAAAAGCATTTGGTTTCATCCATTTTTATACTATGACAGTATGACTACTATTATACTAGTAGAGAGCAAGCAGATTAGTGAAGGTCGACATTACTTGGGATCTTATAGACTATAGGGAGCTTTGTGGATAGAGAGGTTCACCCAATTGCGTTATTCAGGACCATTACTCGCTGTTTAGAAGCCATCAAGAGTCAAGAAATCGAATGAGGAACTGTCTCCCTTTTTATTGAAATACAATGTGTCCCAGATTCGCTTCTCTATACAGGGATCTCGTTTCCTATCATACCTACAGCAATTGTCGAATGGGGACAGTTTTAGAGGGAACTTAGTGCATTCAATAACCGACTTCAGATTCACGATCGGTCAATTGGTTCTGGAAATATCGGCGAAAAGCCGAAAATGGCGTGATTCGTCTTCCGCCAATAATTCCGAAACGATTGATTCGACAGCTGTCAAAATATTACATAATTCGTACACTTTTTCGAAACAAATAGGTAAGATTGCAAGCATGAAATTTCTCACTCGTCTTCTGTTATCCCGCAAGCCCGCCTCAACTTTCGATATCACGAATGTTCCATCGCTGCGATGTACAGGGTGCGCCTCTTAAAATGGAATCCCCCCTTAACACTTTTGTTTTCACAGATGTAAAAAAATGTTGAAACATACCTACAC